CAGTCTGCCCCCGCCGACTCCGCCCCCGCCGACTCTGTCCCCGACCTGCTCCGCGCTGGCCCCGCCCCAGCCCAGGCCGCCGGGGCGCCGAGAATGATGTCATTCGCCCCCTTGATCCGGCGATGCAGACCACCACCCTGGAGAAGGCGCCGCACGTCCAGGGGTGGGGGACGACCGAGGCCGCTCGTGCGTCTGTCTGCTGGCTGATAACAGTATTTTACACGCAAGACTGCAGGGCGACACGCACGTACAGTCACATCTCTCAAGTCCCTTCAGACACGGATTTGACGCTCAGGCTGTCTGCGGATGCAGAAGTGCACAGCAGGAGAACCTGCCTTTGTTTTGCGTTCCACACCTTGTTCTTCAGTGCCATGCTCACCCCCACTGCGGCCGCCATCACTTCATTTCATTTTAGTTTGAGGTGTCAGTGAGATAGCTCCTCTTTGTAGGGGGAAAAAAAAAAATCATCTCTTATTGCCTCAGGGAAGAAGCAAGGCAACACTTACAATTATTTGCCAGCAGAAGACAGTCATTGTAACAGTGTGCTGTTAAATGGCTTTCCTTAGAGCTAAAACGCATTGAGGGAATACAGCTGATGGATGTTGCTATTACAGAAGAATAGTTGCCCTTTTTCTTCTTGATAAATAATTCTTGTTGGAATTCAGATCAATTGAGTCCTATGTGTTATGCAGCCTGTCAAAAATAAAAACTACAGATAAATTTGGTAAGGTTTGATATGTATCAGTTTTGAAATTTAAGGAGAAATGTTTTGAGGGTGGAAGAAATCTAGTAAGACTTACAGACTGATTCTAGGGTTTGTTTTGATCTAATTTCTTAAGTAGCACAAACTTTTCTGTGCCAATGTCATCATCAGTGTGTGAATGCTGGTGGCAACCAGGTGAGTAATTACAAGAATAGCGAAGGAAAAGCTTTTCCCCTGGGAACTATTAACTGATATAATATTGGAAAAAGGCTTGTATTATAGGAATGTTAAATAAAACTTTTAGAAAAGGAAATGGCAATGAAAGAGAAAGCCCTGCTTACTGGATTCTGATCCTCTGCATTCTGAGTCTGGCTCTCACCATTCAGTTGCCTAAGTGACGTCATTATTCCAGATCTCTGTTGCACATCTGTGAATCGAAGGGGCTGAACAGAGTGACCTGTGATTTACACAAGATAAAGCCCTGTGAGGACGAGACCATGGCTCTCTCGTGGGCATGTCTCAGCTATCTCCTGACCCATGCCCGTTCGCCTAACGGCCTCTGAACTAAGGCTTTTCTGCATCTCTGACGTCGGGTAGATACCTAGACTTGTGACTCTCAACTCGTCGTTCATCTTTAGATGTTGAAACTAACTGCCCAGTGGATTTGGTACAACTACTGTACTTTCTGCTAAAAGTCCCATCAAAATGCTCTCAAGCTTTTTTGTATTTTAACCACATGGGAAGTTATACAGGGACTTTCCTGTGTGGTTTAGGGTCATCGAAGTTCCCTGGAAGGACCCTCTCAACTTTGAGAAATAACTTAATCTCTAAGATAACTGGAAGTTTTCATTAACTTGGTGAGTTGGCCTCATCTCCACTTCTGAGATGACTTCTGAGGACGGGGGGTGAGAGGGCTTCAGGCAGTCAGCTCTGGATCCTCCTGGCTGTGCTGGAGCAGAGCCACGGTGGCCAGCAGCCTGGCAGGAAGGAAGACTCGTTGCCAAAAGCAGGGCTTTCTGCCCTTATTCCCCCAGGATGCACCCTGCCTGAGGGCCTGGGGCTGCCCTCTGGAAGGCATGTGCAGAGCTGTTCCCAGTACTGTTCCCAGGACTCAGACGAAACCTTGTACCTGTTCATATGCACCACATGGAAAAGTGAGAAGGAAAAGAAAACCATTTATAAACTCCCGGCACGAGGTCACCACTGGCAGCGCGTCGCCGCTTCCAACCCATCCTGACACGCAGGTGGCGAACGGCTGTGCTAGCAGCCGGTCGTGTAGTCCCAAAGGAGGACAGCAGTGAGAAAGGAAAACCCCACGCATCTTAGGTTTCAGGGCTCTTAATCAGTTTACATCAGGGAAAGTGTCAGTTGGTTTATACAGAAGTCAACTCATTAAACTTCTGTATTTGTTAATGATTGCAGTGGCCAGTTGAAATGGATGGAGAGATTAAATTCTAGTTTAAAGTGAAGTCAGTCTTTCGGATCATGGCACGATTAAAACAAAAACAGAACAGAAACCTTTAAATCGTATGTACGTGTATTCTAGCCCCCTGACTGCCACTGCCAGCTCCGTGGTCCTCAGATCCCCTTGATGTTTCTGAGTCTCCGCGTACTGTTTCCCTCAGTAAAGTGAACAGTCCAGTTAGATTATCTCTAAGGTCTTCATTTCTAAAGTACGTTCGTTACCTAAATTTGCCTTAATGCTGCAGTGGATACGAATCTTTTAAATCAAACAACTCATTTTCTTCCTTACAGACTTCATTTGTTGTTGACGAAGTGAGCAACATTGTAAAAGAGGTAAGAGGAGAGAGGCCTGCTTCTTAAATGTTCGATTAATGGATTGTATGCGTGAAAATAATGTGTTTTAAATACTGTCTTGGAATTGTTTCAGCTGAGCCTGTGTGTTTTGGCATTTCAAATAACAGTTTTTACTTCAGTGACTATCTAGATAAGAATTACTCCCATATTATGTAAATTATATATTTTAAATCAGACGGGAAATTTTATACACTAGCGTTATTATCGAATGTTACGAAGCCTTGATTCTATAACCTTTTAGCATAAAAGAGTCATGGTATTCAAGTAAATGTGTCCGGTGTTTAATGAAGAAAGTAAATATTTCTTTTCCAGTTATTCAAGACCCGGTGATCCAGTTGGGGCTTATTTGTTCCTTTGTTTTTCTTAACATTCCTAAACTACCCACTTTATCATTATTGACCACAGTATTTTCCTTAGAGATGAGAATGGGAGACAAAAAAAAAGGATATTTGTTCTTCACTTATTCAAAAAATACAGGTTGAGGGGACAGGCAGGGGACTAACCCTCAAGGAATTTACATTATAGGGGTGGGGCAGGTATTTTTCAAATAATCACACTGGAAAGTGTGAACTTGAATTCCCCGTTGGGTCACTGCCCTGCTGGCTGCTGTGAGGGAGCCAACCCCCCTGTGAGTTCAGAGCTGGGATCCGGAGAGTCAGTAGGGGTAGCATTAACTTTGGGACAAGGGCGCCAAACGTTCCAGGCAGGGGCCACCTGTGCAGAGGCTCTGTGGCCGGCTGTGTGTGTGAGTTTGAGGGACTGAAAGGAAGCAGGGGGGTGGTGGGAGGAGTGCAGAGAGCTGGGCAGCCTGAGGCAAGGCTGAGGCTGGAAAGATCCTCCCAGTCAGCTTCCCTTCCTGTGTGAGCTGAGCAGACAGCAAAGCCATTGGCTGAAAGAAGGTGGGTAGATCACCCAAGTTTGCCATTTGAGGTTATGTATGTGATTTGGAATTGACTCTAATACAAGTTATTATTAGTGCAAAGTGTTGACTATTGCCAGAGAGATAAAAGAATCACAACCCATTTTTGTGAACACAATCAAAAAGCAAAATGATTTTGTTCTACCATATACATTAATCGGCATCAGGCACAATTTTCCAGTTGCTTTGCAGGATCTGTAACAGTTTGCCCTTCATCTTTTTCTAAATACAGTGTTTGTTATGAAGGGGCGGGGGGAGCAGGAAGTGGGAAGTGGAGTTGGCTACGAAGTATCCTCTGGCCTCACTTGTTCTCTGCCTTAGCTTCGACTTGGTTACCAGCCAGCAAGTACAGTTGAAGGGTAGACCCAGCCAGTCTCCCCGGAATCTTGAAGTGACATTGCGATGTTGCCTTCACATGGTCACGAGCCTCCATAGCTTTTCTGCCCCTGGTGATAGGTTGACTGTGTACTCGAGCTATTTTAAGTGTTGGGTAGCAGTCAATTTGGGTGAGTCCAACACTGGAGTTTACTTACCTCCCTGAAAAACAGTGAATCGCAAAGTGTGTCGAGGGGGAGTCCCCAGAGTTAGAGGTCTAGCCTGAGCAAAGGCTCTTTGGCAGTACCCAGATCTGGTAATAACCTGGTCCCTTTAAACCAGGGGTTCCTGTGCCCCCAGCCCCACTTTATGCTCTGAGCTGGGGAGAGCGAAGGACATGGAGAATGAGGAGCTGTGATGATGGGGGAGGGGGTAGGGGGGTGCCAGATGACCAGTGTTTAGAGTGACTACTGGAGTCCCAGGATAAATAGGAACTTCTGTAGGCAGAAATCCGGGTGTGACTGTGGGTAGCTTTTTGTTCCTCAAAAACAAAACCACTGGGCTTATGCACTCTGTAGTAGGCCCCAGTGCGTCACCAACGTGCACAGCTCAGGCCATGGGACTGTTTTTCTCTCCGTCCCTCAGGACGGACTTGGTGCTCAAGGAATGTTTTTAATTTAGGTCATAACTGTCATAAAAGCTCAGTTTTCTGGTTTCCAGCACAGAAGTCAGAAAAGGGATAGAGAAGAAGGCTGATTAGAAGTAGGCATGCTGGTGTCAACACAGAAGGCCCAGAAAATCATAAAATGGGGAGATCCTAACTAAACTTGAGCATGAGTAGCGGCAAGGGACCGTGCATCTTCCTGAATAACCCCTGAAGCGTACAGCGTGAGTGAGCCCTCCTCAAAATACAGCACAAAAAAAGACGAGAGATTTCAGAATAAAGAAAATTCGTCATAAACTTAAGTTTTGGAATACATAGTTCTTTAGTTATCTGAAAAATACACTTATATGGTAATATTCCCAGAAAATGCTAAGGAAGTATTTATGAATACATGATCATTTGGATAGGTTTGTACATTGTCGGTTGTACAAACAGCTGATAAAGTTCCTGTATCTACTATACTTTTAAGAAAGGAATAGGCAAAGTAAAATATTTTCTAGTGTCATAGGAAAAATGTTGCTTATCACCAGGTACTAATAGCAACAGTGAATATTAAATTCAGTCAAAATGTTAAAAAATTTGACATACTATATAATTTAGGATTCTTAAAAACAAATATAAAAAATTTAAATGTGACACTTAAAAGGTTTTATAACAAAGGAGTCCTCTTGGATAAAAATAAGCTTGCATTTTATGCAAATTGTATTTCATTTCTGAGCACTAACGGGAAGGTGGTTGGGGTCATTCTGCTAACGGGGGCCCCCTGCACTCTGTCTTCTAGGCTATAGAGAGCGCCATTGGTGGCAACGCCTATCAGCACAGCAAAGTGAATCAATGGACCACGAATGTAGTAGAACAAACTTTAAGCCAACTCACCAAGCTGGGAAAACCATTTAAATACATTGGTAATCGGTTTTTGCTTCTCGTATGTACTGTTGGTGGTGCTTTAAATACTGATCAGAGGCGAGTCTGGTGTCAGAAGAGCGAGTGTGGCCGTGTGGTGCCCAAGCTCAGAGCTTTCTGGAGAGGTGTGTCACTTTAGTGGCGTGCGTTATTTTTGGTTGTAATTGCCATAAACTGGCCTGTTTGGCTGCGGGAGCAATTGCGGGACACGCCTAGGATTTGACAGCATTTCAGAGCACATGCTTTTAGAACAAGTGTGCAGCGAAGGGATGTGTGTGATGAGTCAGTGTCGTAGGACCGGACAGTCTACACCTGTGATTTTTATCATGAGCGTCAGCCACGTGATTGACATACATATTCTAAAAGTGGGCAAAGAGAAATTAGTGTTGCCAAGTAGATTTCTCTAATACAAGTTTGTTTTAATTGAAGTGACCTGTGTAATTATGCAGAAGAATGGAGCAGGATTACACACGGCAAGTTCATGCTTCTGGGACAGCTCTACTGACGGTACGGTTTCCATTCCTTTGGTGGAAGTTTGTCGTGGGCATTTTCCCAGTGGGTTTGCAGTGCCTCTGGGTCCATGCTGAGATCTAAGTTATTCAGAACGGGGTGTGATGACCTGTGTGCTCGGCTGCTTCATGTCTTTGAACGTGTGCTTCGTAGTCACCTTTTAAAACGTTCTATAGAAGAGACTTGCCAACCTTCTCTATTTATGTATCGTAAAGAGGTGGGCATTCGAGCGTTTCAAGCTTTGTGTGAGAAATCAGACGGTCGCGTCTCCGTCGCCCTAAGTTCCGGTGCCCCTGTGCCTCTGCCCCCCGCAGGGAGCTGCACGGTGCGATGGGAGAACAAGACCATGTACTGCATCGTCAGCACCTTCGGGCTGTCCATCTGACCCCTGCCCCTGCCCCGTGACCACTCTGCTCTCCTGTCTCAGCGTCTGCGCCGTCTTTCACCGCCAGCTGTGATGTCAGTGTGGAACACCTTTCCTGTTCTAAGTGTTCTTTGTGGCACTCTCAGAATGTAGAGAAAGTCCCCAGATGACAGCACTGTTCTAGGAACTGCACACCCCAGGCCGGAGGGACCGTTCGCCATCGGCAGTCCCAGGCCTGTGTCTTAACTCTGAATATTTCTGCTCAAAGGTGCTAAAATCGGAAACCTGCTAGTGTGAATCTTTCTCTACTCTCTGAAGTGATTCAGGTACACTAATTTTCCATACTTTGTACTTTTGTTAGAATAATAAATTATTCCAATTTAAAGTTTGTGTTTTCCTTTATGGTCTAAATAGTATCACAGATGAATCATTCATATTTAGTTGGCAGCTGTAGAATCTATAAAACAGTAGATAATGAAGGAAGAAAACTTGCAGTTAGGCTCTGGTCCTCTCCAGTGCAGTGATGTGCTGACATCGCCCACGGGACCAGGATCCGGACAGCTTCGCGGTGTTCTGGTCGGATTTCTATCTACCCCTGGCTTCGCACCCTCCTAAAGTTCCCCTCTCCTGGAGCCTGAGCTGTGGGAAATGGGCAAGCTGATTTCCGCTCCCGCAGCCGGAGAGCTCTGACGCACACACTTGGGCCACGTGTGCAACACTTTAGCTTCTACTCCCATGTTCTCCACTTTTCAGTGGCAATCACATACACACACAAAATGTTTAGTACTTTAGGGTTTGCAGAATGTTTCCATAATCATTTGGTGTCTCCAACAATTATACCGTCATTCATAAATCAGGTAATGTGTGTGGAGGTTATCTGATTGATTTAAAGTCATATCGGAGTAAGTGAAGAGATGGGCCCCAAACCCTGGTCCTGTGACCTGTCTCATCTTTGTGCTTGTCCAGGGGCCAAGTTAACATGGTAATAAAGACACTTCCATGTCCACTTGCCGAAATGAAACAAGCCCTGCTCTTGTCCCGAAAACACTCAGGTCTGTCAAATTAACTAAACGAGCAAAGAGCAAACAAATCAATACATAGAAATAAGGACCGAATAGTAAAAATTTATTAACATTTACCAGAAATGTAGTCTCAGAATGAAGGTACTCCCACAACATAAGTTTGCCACAAACATTTATTCATTTTTGATTGATTACAATGCTCATTCACGGATCGGGTGTTCCTGTGCTCATTGGCAGTTCAAAGAACTAATACACAGCTCTGTGTTTCCTTTTGAGCTTAAAGTTTGTTTTATTTTACAAATATTTACAGGTTTGGTTTTTTTGTTTTTGTTTTTTTTGTAAAAAGGCAGTTTTCAGTAGCAGAAAATCCTATGTTTCATAGTATGGTATAATAGTTACCAGTATATCTAAAACGTGAAATCAAGAAAAACAAGATAAGATGTCACAGACTAAAGCAACTTCCCTTTGGCCTGGGGAAAAGATTTTTCAAAAGTCTAATCTCTAAGGCAACTGGTTTCTAAAACCCTCAAAATACATGAATATACTTTAGTGTTTTAAGTCTAGTTTTCACTAGATGTCCCTTTTAATCATCCCTTCTATGAGATTGTTTTTCCCTGTTAAGTTACCACATTATAACTTATTTAAGAATAACTATTTTCAGTAAAGAGTTCATGAAATACTTGAGGCTGGTGACATTTGTAATCTGTCCATTTAGCGGTTTGGGTTTACGTAAGTATCTAAACTTACTGCAATCTGTAATTTTATATACAGGAACAATCTTAAAAACCTTTAATATATTTTGTATATCCCTTTCTCCAGCCTTTCAAATGGGGCTTGAGAGAAATCCCCCTCAATGCACTGCTGTAATGATTTAATAATAAATCAAGCAGACCTGTTACCCACATGGATAATGAAGCTCTCTCCAGGGAACCCGAAACACCTACGGCCATCTTCCAGGTTCCTCCAGAGGGGACCAGTATAGAAATCATCCCACAGATGGTGTTATTCAAGTCATCACCGTGGGAAACTAAAGTCAGCCCTTGAGTTCATAATTTAGTTTGCAAAATTTTGATGTTTTCCAAGAAAAAAATTCTTGGTACCGTCTATAAAGTTTCTGGTCAACTTTACTGTTTTAACCTAACACCAGGGCACATATAATATATACTAACTATAAGCAAAATTTTGCATGGAGTATGTAATATATTGATATATATGATATACCAGGAAGAGACACTGAAAATACTGTTTTCCCCTTAAGTGCTTTCTTTTGTAATTTTTTTTGTTTCCAACTTAGTTACAAAAAAGTAAATAAATACTCCCATATTTTTAATTTCCTTGGTGCCTTGATGAATCCATATATGAAGATATCAGTCATCAGTTTATACTACAGGACAAAAACATTTTTAAAAGTTCTAAGGTGTATGGTTAAATGCCTCGAATATTTTACATTTACTGATAACAGCATTTCAAATTATAGGCAATTATTTGATAATGATTAAAACGTAAACTATCACATACTAGAATACATTAATCAGCACAAGTTTGTCAGTTTACATAAAATTATAGTTAGTCTTAATAGACGTTGTAAAATTTGGTAATTTTTTTCAATACCTCTGAGTACACAGAATCAATAAAGTAATCACACCGTTGCAAATGTAAAAACCATGTAAACTTGAATTACCCTTGCAATTATAGTTGTTTTAATTCAAACATTCATATTTACAGGTTTCAAAAACATAAATGGAATTCATATTAAAGGTACATTAGCATTAACGTTTAAATTAGAAAGGTATGAAGTTATAGCGAACAGCTCATGAACCTCTGTAAGGTCCCAGCACTGCCTAGTGTGGAATACAGTTTGTAGCTATGAATGGTACTCTGAGCGTTAATGCATAGATGAGCAAAACGTAGGAACGGTTTGCAGAGCGGAGCAATGATCCTAGACCTCTGTTCACCAAGAGGCACCACTCAGGATGCCTGCGACAGTTGTATATAAACCGTTCAAGAGAGATGCTGAGCATGTCAAGGGAAAGCAAAGGAGGTATCCATTCTAGGCATCTGTCTTTGACAAAAAGGAACTGGAAAGTCCCCAGGGCCTTCTATGATGTCACAGATTCAGCAGCTCCAGACTTTTCTTTCCCACAGGGAGATTCATCTGTGACCACTGTGTAAGACGTACCCAACAAGCTACCCTCTACCCAAAGATTTTCTTCCATAAGCCATCTAAAATGCTTGACTTTCATTTATCTAGTTTGCAAATGAGAAACTGAAAAACTTTTTGGCAATAAAGAATCTGTATCAATCATCTGTTTAGCTTTTATTTTAAAAAGCTCTACGGGGCGTTATCTGTAGCAGAGCTGCAGAAATTACTGCTTATTGGAATTTAACGGACACCCTCGTCCCACCCCAGCCACAGGGATACCCGCTCGTGTGCATGCACGTAACGTGCACACGTGTTCACGGAGGTCCTTGGGAAACTGGCAGCAGGACCTTTCCCCTGGGGCCGGCAGCGTGTCAGTCATCTTACCCTTGCCCTGGAAACCGTACCAAACCCTCCTGAGAACGCCACGCACTAGTCCTGCTCTGGTGGTGGAAGGGCCAGAACCTGCCCGCCCACGGTTTCCCCAAGCAGCTGTTCCTTCACACGACGAGGGGGGCTGCCAGTCACTTAAGATGCTTGGTCAGCCAGAGCGCAGTGTCCTTGTGAGGGGTCAAAAACGATGGTACCATGGAGCCGGGAAGAAAGGAAGAAGAGGTGTGTCCCATGCTGTGGGCCCCCCTCGCACGCAGAATCTGTTATTTAAATAAGGACACACGTCTCTCCGCTAAAACCAGGAGTAATTTCGCCACTGAAAAGAGCGAGCTCCGTCTGATGTCTTTGAACGGGGATTTGGCTGTTTAACCTTATCGTTAGCGCCTCTCTTCCCAAATAAAGGCAGCCGCTCTAACAAATTTGGGCCAATCTTTAAATTTGTCCTTAGTTTTGGCTTTCCTTTCAAAGATACGTAACCAAATAAGGACCAGGAAATCTCTGCTTATGAGACGAGTCTGAATCTGGGCAGGTGCAGGGAAAGCCAGGATGGTCGCTCAGGGCAGCAGGCCCCGGACACCTGCCACCGCCAGGTGCTCAGTCACTGTCAGAGCCCTCCTGGTACTGTGCTCGAATGGCTTGGCCGTTCTGCAGGGGCATCTCTTCATAGTCGCTCCTGTTATAAAAAGACCTTTGACACCAGTCCGCTCTGGACAGCTCTTTATTCTCGTCCGCACTGAGAGCCATTCTAGCGAGAACTCACTTCGTAGCTTCACTCTCAGTTTGTCTCCACCTGGCAGTGCCCACTCCTCATCTCTGCCCCGCCCCCAGCACGGGCCCATCGTCCAGAAAGAACTGTGCCCCCTGTGGTCACCGCCCCTTGGAGGGGCTCAGCAAAAAAGACCACTCAATTTAAGCCTGGATAATGTGGAAACAGACCCATGGAATCACGTGGCACTCGAGGTAAAGGAAATGTCCTGACACCTCGAAAACAATTTTAGAGCGATGAACCCGTTCAGTAAGCGGGCGAAGCCGTCAGGCCGAATGCGCGCGTGGGGCGCGACCTACCCGTAGATGACGTCGTCCTCAGAGTCGTTCAGCATAGAGAACGCAGGGTTGTCTTTCAGCTGGGACTCTGCAAACCAACAAGAGCGTGTTCCCGTGATCCGCCCGGGAGGAGGGCGGGGCCCAGGAAGGGCTGGAATTCATCCTGGTCACCACGCAGGTCTGCGTGGCCCAAACAAGCCATTCGTTCTGCCCCTGGGCGTGTTTCTCGCCCGCCAGCCAGGGCGGCATCAGGGCGGCATCACTGCGTGGCCGCGGCTACGAAGACTGACAGGCCCGGGACAGAAGTCCCGAGCAGAGCGGAGCAGCCTCGGGCACTCTCTCCTGCGTCCGCAGGGGACGGGAGGGAAGCACCGCTTCGGCCTGCCTGCCCCCTCCCACCCTGGGGCCTGCGGCTAAGCGTCTGCGAACAGAGTGGCCGCACCTCTCATACAGCTGTCATGAAGCTCAAACGAGGCGCTTCAGGTGCTTTGAGAACTCACACGGCGGAAATGCTGGGGGTGGTCCCGACATGCTGCGCCCCCGCCCGGGTCCCAGGAAGCGCTCACCCTGTGCCCTCCCTGTGCGACAGGGCTGTTTGTTTTTGTTTTGGCTTTCTGGGGAAGGGCTGTATGTCTTGGCTTTCTTGTGAGTGGCCATGGCACCGATTCAACAGACTTAGTTTCACACGGCTGATGGACATGATGCTTGTAGGACCCGCTAAATGCCGTTCCCCATCTTGTGCTGTGATGACACAGCGCATGCTGTGTTCTAACTAAAAGTCGGGGCCATTTTTAGTGACCTCGTCTCTCTCCGCTAGCGAGAAGGCGCTGTGGGTTAGCCAGCACTAACGGGGAACCCGGGCCCCAGGGCGGCTTACCATACAGGGCGTTCGTCGACGGAGAGTACACGAAGGCCAGCGTGTAGAGGTAAAAGTTCAACAAGCCGTACAAGGACAGGAACTCAGCTGGTGGCACTGGTCAAGGGAAGTAAGCGACCCCGGAACTCCACGCTCGGACATGCCGACTGGCCTCGCCGCTCCTGCCAGCCTTTCTGCTTTCAGTACCAGTCCTTCCTGCTGCCGGCCACCGCCCAGTACCCGGGGCTCCGTGACCCAGACCTCAGGACGCCACAGGGCAAGCCCGCGGCCAGAGCTTACAATAACCCCTCAAGGGCACCTGCAAGTAGCAGGTGAACCATGGTATCTCCTGTCCGTGGGAGCGTCTCGGGGGGCAGAACCCGACGTGATCAAGCCAACGGCAGGAAGGCCACGCGCACCGGGTGAGGCGAGTGTGAGATGAACCGCACACACACCCTCCAACCGGTCGCTCCGAACCTTTGCTGGACTACAGACCCCTCTGAGAATCTGGTAAAAGTCTGATGTGAAATTTAGTCACAATTTGAAAAATCATGCATTAATAATTAATAATAATCTAAGAATGCAAGAGGCCCCAAGAAAGAACCCAAGATGTAAAGGATTAACCCCAAAACATCCCGGCAGATGCCGTCACCAGCGGGGGAGTGGGAGACACACACGGCCCATCGAGCATCTGAGAGTTCACCGTGGAGACACCAAGCCTCCCCGTCCCTGGCCTCAGGCGCCCACGCAGGGACAGAAGGAGGTCCCGCTGTTCTATGAGCCCTCCCCGGGGACACAGGCTTAAATTCCCTGTGGACACTGCATCTGGGTGCATCTGGGCCATGGTGCGAGGGGCCCCTGGGCTTGAGTCCACATGCTTAGAGGCCCTGGGGCCGGGTTCGCCTGGGGAGCCTGAGCTGCTGTCTGCCGAGGGTCAACGCTTCCCAGGGCCGCGCTGGGGCCAGTGCAAGCGCCCCCTCTGCCCCCGGGCTCCGCATGCCAGGCCACGGGGAGGTGACCTGCCCCTTCTTGATGCTCACAGACCTCACACACTAACTGCTCGTCTACAGTGCATTCCTGAAGCCTGGCGGCGTCCCATGAGAAGGATATAATTCTGGTAGTGAGTTGACAGTTCAGCTACAAAATTGTCTTGTAATACCTGTGCTCCAAACCTTAAATAAAGGATGACAATGCTGGAAAAAAGGGGGGCGGGCGGGAGAATGTGTGAAATATACAAAGAAACAGCACTGGCTTCATTATAACCCACTAACGAGTCGTTACAGTCACTGTTAACAGTTACAGTCTAGTCCCTATTATTTCTGCATGGAAACTTGTCCCCCCCCACACACACACACGCACACACGCGTGCACACCCAACCCGTGCCGCTGGGTGCTCGGTCTCAGATCCAGGAGGGCCAGCCGCTGGGACAAAATCAGCTAGCCCTGACACCCGCCATGTCAGTCTTGGTCAGGGCCTTGAAGCATCACCTGGGCACAGCCCCTCCACTGGCCTCTCTCCCTCAGTCCTGTTTTCGAGGCTGTCCCCTGCGACAGTTACCAGCTCCCCTGAGGGAAGCCCGCCTCCCCAGTCACACTTCCCTTTCTCCACAGTGACCCACACGGTGAAGCAGACACCTGCCTCCGACACGCGACAACGGAGGCTCTGATAACGGGGGTCCAGGCTCGCCCCTGAACCACCCATGACCTCCACCAGCACCCCGCCTTTTGTCACCCTTCCCTGTGGTCCATTCTCCACACGCAGCCAGACTGACCATTAATAAAAATGTAAATCAGCTCCCTTCCCCTCTGGCCTAAATCCCTCTGGGGGTTCTCATCACTGCAAACACCCTGACTGCTCCGGCGGCCCCCCTCCCTCCCGTCCCCACTTCCTGTGACACTGCGGTTCCTCCTCCTGTCCCGCTGCCTGGGCGACCACCCCATGTGTTTTTAGGGCTCCTCCTTCAGGCCCCAGGCCAAATATTCCCTCGGAGAGACGCCCCTTACCCAGCCGCTTTCCCCCTGCCATCGTCATCCCTCTGGCACCCAGACGATGTATTTACTTGTTTTTCACCCTCTTCCTCCATTGACTGTAAATGCCACGATTGGGGAGGAAGCTGTCTGCCTGTGTAACAGTGTAGGCACTCGACACGTATTCGCTGCATAAACAATGAGTGCCCTTGAAACTCAGATGAAGAAAAATCACAAAAGCATAACAACTTCTAAGACAGACTATATAGAAGGAGTGTGTGTGCGTGCGTGTAACAGGATATGAAGGTGTGGGTGCGTGTGAGACTGTGAGAAGTTCAGAGACGACACTTGTTCCACTGACTACATATAACACATGTGGTACTGTTTTCAGGGGAGATTAAATGCTGAGTAAAACTCAGGGTCACGTCAAAGTCCCTCTGAGTTCTGACACTTTGGGGAGCACAGCGCACAACTCCTGGAGGGCGGAGGACCAACCTAGACGCCCACAGGAGCACGGAGGTAACTCAGCCAGCCGGGTGAGCACCCTGTGGCTGAGGTTCCCGTGCTTCCGACAGGCCATGTGCCCTCCCTGACCTAGTGACCACATGTGGCTACAAGTACCCTAAAATTAACTCTGTACAAGGGGAAAAACGATATTCAAGAGAGGAAAATAAATACTCGGTTTTGTGCCTTTCGAGAAATAAAGTCGTCTTACCTAATGACAAGCACGACGAAAGTCAACGCAGTCAGAAATTCGAACCTGAGGTCTGAAAAAGAAAGCAATGCCCATGAAACCACCACAGTAAATGCCATGCTCGTCCCGGATGAAGATAAAGAAGAGCCTGCTTTTCTCTGGACTCGAAACAGGCCCAGGGGAAACGCTGTCCCACCTCTCCAGAGTCCAGGAGGTCCCCAGACTGGGGGAAACGAGGGGACTTGGCCTGACTCAAGGACGAGGCGAGCCGCCCACCGGCCGCTATGCAAGGTGTGATGCTGGTAGGATCCAGGCAGCTCCCACAGCCACGCTGGCGCCCAGGGCCCAGCTGGCTTCCAGCCCACGGCCTCCCTCCTGCGCTGGCCCAGAGTTATCTCTTCTGTCCCCGAGATGGAGGTGCTGGTCCCCAGCCTGTGGGAACAGGACGAATCCCTGGGTCTTCCCCTGCAGGTCAGGCCACTTGCTTGGTGCCCTCCAGCCACTCCTCCCCTCCGTGGGAAGCCACCTCCTGACCCAGGCTGCACTGGGCGTTTGTGAAGTGGCACTTACCCACGTAAGGCATGTGACGTAGCTCAGAACAGGCCCGCACTATCAGGAACAGGAGGTATAAAATGTAGACCGCTGTCACCACCATGAAGAACATTTTCATTCCCTGCAATGAAACAAGGTCTCAGAGCTGCTCTTCCGTCCAGCGCCACGTGCAGGAGGAAAGGCCAACGTTTCTAAAAGGGACCCAGAGCCCTGAAGGTCACTCTCTAAAACAGAACAAGGAGATGCTCAGCCCCCATCCTTGCTGGGAGAGCAGGCAGCTCCACCCAAGAGGACCCCCAGCCCTCGCTAATCAGATGACAAGAACCCACACTGCTTCCCTTGCATGTGCCAAGCTCCTAGCGCGCGCGCGCGCACACACACACACACACACGGCCTGGAACGTAGTAGGTGCT